CTGCCGCCGGCCCCTCCTCCCTGGTGGCAGTGGGGACCCCTCACCTGGCTGGGGAGGGCCGAGGTGGCACCGCTGCCCCGCTGGTAGGGGAAGCTCGGGCCCCGCAGGAGCTCGGTGTCTAACGGACAGCAGGTAACCCCGCCTTCCATACCGGTTACCGAAAGAGTACGTTTTAGAAGGTTAAACGGGAAAGGCACAAAACAAGAAGCACTCGATATTTTCCATATAAAGGTGAAGAACAGGTATGCAACTTAAGTTGAGGGCAGGGTGTGCTTGAAAATAAGCTAAGAGTTGCATTCACTACCTGTCAGTTTTTTACACTTTAACCAATTTTATACTTTCATAATGGAATAAATTACTTTTAGTAGCTGTCAAACTCTCCTTTTTATTATTATAGCTTTCTGTATGCATTTGACGAATTTGCAGATACTACTTGAAGTACCTACAACTTCCATGGGAAGATAACTGAAATATTTTCATGTTGAATAAAAAACAAGAGACAAGTATTGATCATACGGTTTGGTTTTTTGTTTTGTTTTGTTTTTTTGTTTTATTCATTATAAATAATGTGTAAGTTGGTTCATCTTTCAGTTTTACATGATGTAAGGACAATACATTACACCGGCACAAAACAAACTCAATAGAAAAAAAATATACAATTGTTTTCATTTATACAGAAGTCATTTGTCATGAAACGACAGCATCTGACACCGAACAGGAGACTTAACAGGTAAATGATGGAAAACCTGAGAGACAGCGATGCCATTTGCTGAAAGTAAACGAAAGAATTTTACTCTTGATAGATCCTGACTGTCCCCTGCTCTACCTTACATATAATCTGGCTAAAATCAAATACGTTACAATCTTTTTATTTTTTTTTTTCAATCAGAATTCAAATAATTCCATTTTCCTCGTATTTAAAGTAGTAATTGGAGAATGTGCGACAATGTATACTTCTAAATCATTCTAAATTGACAAGTAGCACTCCAACTGTGTGAATTTAGTAAACTTAAATTTAACTTGGGGGTCTCTCCTCTTCCAAAACTCCCGAGATACCTATGTGCCTTTATTTTCACAGTGATTCATAAAGCAAGAGTTGAAAACATTTAAAACACCTTCTGGTAATAAAGTAGTTAATATCTTAATTGGCAAGACCTGTTGTATGAACTCAGTGACTTTTGACTGGTACAATCCCAATAAATACTTTGGTATCTTTAAAATGCCTATACTGCATAGGAGACACATTCATGCACAAAACACCGCTAATGCTTAATAACTTACATGTTTATACGCTTATTTTCAGTAGCTTGGACTTTGTAAAACTAGCTGCTTATCTTCTGAGCTGACACAATGAACCAATAAGCAACATGACACTCGTTTGTAAGCAGCACTACCTTTCTCTGTGTTCCCTCCATTTGGGAAGGGATTGTCCTGAATTGTCCTGTAGCAACAAAAACAGTACAGTACAGAAAGGCTCTAGAATATGTAATTGCAAAAGGCACTTCTGAGAATTAATTCACGCAAGTATTCCAGTGAAATTGGAGTTTTGTCTAAAAAATATTTACCAAACATTTTCCTCCTCCTCCTCTCTCCTGTGGCTAGGTTAGTTTTTTGAAGCTAAATGAAAGAAAAGCAGAGCAAGGTAGGATAGGGTGAGAAAGGGAGAAGTCAAATCCCTTTTCTCTGTTTCTCCCTTCTATTCCAACACCTGGGCTCCCTTTTTAGTACTGTGCTCTAGAAATGTCTGTATGTATGTTTGGTTTATAAGAACCTGGTAACTACCAGGAGATTAAAAGAGTTAGTTAAGTAGTCTAGCCTTTAAAATTCAGTAATGTGAAATTAATTCCACCATAGTTTAAGTGAAGTACTCATTTCCTCTGTCCAGTGTTCAGACTTTGGTCACATACTGAGCATTAGAAGTAAACCTAGGTCAAGATATGAAGTAGTGTTAAGATGTGCTAGCCAGTGATATTTTTCCAAATACGGTTCTGATCATCTGAACCTCATTTACATTGTTTCCTAGAAGTATTTTGAAACTTCGCTAATTTCCATAGCATAGGCATGGTTTTAGGGCATGCTCAATTACCGTATTGCTAACACGCAGCCCTGATACCCACACACAGAGATTTATTATAACTGATACCACTTACTGATTAATATTAAAAGCAACAAGATCTCACTACTTCAAATTTTTAAAAGCTCTGATTTATATCAATGCAATTTGTGAATTTGACACATTTCAAGTTTGTGAAAAAATTTTTGCAGCCTCTGAAAAACAGGATATGTGAATCCCTGAATTTGAGATTACTTAGAGAAATACCCAGTACAGGCATTTAGAATAGCATAGTAGTGAAATAATTTATAAGGACTTTGTGATACTCCAACATGTTCTTCTTACATGATTGTACTTCCATTTCCGCTACATTGCCTGCATAAAGCAATGGAGGAGGAGGGGGAGGAGAGGAGGAAGTCATACCCTGTGTGTCTAGTTCAGCCCCTCAACCCTCCAAAACTGGTAAGTAACCATGTGGATATAGATAGCATCCCCTGCAGCCACATGCTAATCAGTACCAAGTGGAAGTCATTTTCCATAGGTTACTCCACAGCTTGTAGGCAGTATTATCCCAGTTTCTGGGGGACTTTTGGCTCATTACAAGTGCTGTCAGAATTGTCACCTTGCTAGCGGTCTCAGGGACAAAACATCTCGCCCTCTTCCTCTGCATTCTCAGTTTATGCATATCTAAAGAGGTCCAGTTTCAAGTATTGCCAGTATGGCCCCTTTCACCAGTTTTATTTACATTGTTTAAATGTGTCTTACTGGTCTGGTGGAGGCAAGGCATTCGTAGGGCATTTAGACTATTTGCAGTAATAGATTATATACAAGCATTTGAGCATGCAAGCTCTTACTCAGCTGCTTCTGTGTCAGACCCGTCTCAGTCTTGAAGGTGTTCCCAGAGAACCTGTATTTCCCTAGCCTCATCGACTGATCAAATAGGAGGTATTACCTGTCGTTACAGACCTTGATGCTCTTTGACCTTCACGACTACAGCACTTCTGCACGTTGATCTAGGAGTACTAAGGTAATACTCATCCAAATACAATTTGGTTTATCCTGCTTTTCCTAATGCACGTTTATCTTCATCTATTGACATTAATATCCACATTTATAATGTTGAAGGAAGCTAATTTAGTTCCCTGAGTTCTTCATATTCACACTGAATATGTTTCTTCACAATTAATTACAAACTTAGATTCCATACTAGTATCTACTACAAATGACAGGCCTTTCCAAATTATCAGTCGGGTTAAAACGAACGCTGCATTAATGGCAAATGTCCATGTTTGTGAGGCCTAGTGACAGGATTTCACCGAAGAAATCATTCAAGTCCCCCTCTTCATTCTTCTGCCAGTCATTCAATAAACACACTCCACTGCTTTACTGAGTTTAAAAATTATATAAACAAAACTCACATCTTCATTTCTGTTTAGTGACTCTTCCTTTGTTTAGTATAACTTATTTCCATATACAAAAAAATTAAGGCCACTATAATTTTTAAGTTGTCTGGCAGCACAGCTTAAAAAAAGAAAAAAAAAAGTAGTAGTCTTTATTTGCCAGCTGGGAAATTTCTTCAGATGAAATACTGTTACACTTAGTGGGAGGCAGTAGTCTATTTACATATTTTTAAGAAAACGTATTTTCTGAGCTCTGCAGAGAAACAGCCATGAAGAATAAGCCAGAAACCTAATGCATAAGGTGGAGCATATTGCTTTATAGAAACCAGAATCAGTTTGCAGGACACAGACCATATCAGGAAAGTCTTGCTTTCAATAGCAATTACAGGGACAGTGTTGAAGACTGACCTATCAATATTACTAGGTTTGGACCACAAAGTATCCTAGAAAGCCAAAAATATGGTTTGAATCCAGTAACATTAGTTTGCATCAGACCTTGGCTTCAATCTAGATAGGAATACTTGATTCAGTACAGTAAATTCAGAATTTATATTTTAAATTAAAACCACAGTATCAAAAATAAGTTAACCTAGAAAAAAAGACTATGTGTGTCTTTTTTTACATAGTGAAGATTACTTTTAGGCAAAACTTAACAGAAAAACAGTTTGGGAATAAACAAACATTCTCTTTTGGCAGTGTCCGGTTTGGGATTTAGCTCTGTCCTCTCCTTGGAGGCATCTGTTAACTAAAATTTATCAATACAAAAAGGCAACATAGTGAAAAGCTGAAATATTAACATTTCAGTAAAGTGCATGGGACTGTGGCAGACTTAATGGCTTTGCTATAACCTTATCTCGGATGCTGAATTAAATGATGGGGATGCCAGGTTCTTTACTATTCTATTGAGATTGGCAATTTTTTCTTCTAGTAAATAGTTTTTCCTTTCAGCAGTTTTCTGCCGCTGTTCTGTCATCTCCAAAGCCTTCAGCAGTTGTGCATTCTCAACATAGAGATCCTTGACCATTGCATCTGCTTTAGTGTTCTTGGAAAGCTGAATTGTGAATAGGACATAATTACTCAGCAAATGAAAAGCAAAATAAAAATAAAAAATTAAAAGCAAGAACAGTGCTGGGAAAGTAGGTGAATGTGTTTATTGTAACTCAAATATCAAAGGAAGACAACCCACCCATTCATCTTATTTTGCTTTGTTAGAAACCTATGTTTGTGGAGTCTTTATAGATACTATGAATATTTTGAAACTGGAAAGACTTTGTAAGGAGATCAGATGAGTACTGCTTTACAGCGTTTGTCCTCTAAGGATAAGTCTAGTTCACAAGAGGATCCACAAGCCCAGTGATCCCACAGAGATACTTCCTCCGAGGTTTGGACCACCAGCTCCTCCTATAAAACTGGGGAGAGCAGCCTTGCACTTGTCTACATGCTTTTGGGAACAGGCAGGAGACCCTGTCAGTATAGCACTTCCTTAACATGATAGAAGAGACTGTACCTCAGTAGAAAAGAGATATTGTTATCATGTCACACCTAAGTGTTCAAAAGCCACCTTTTCTTACACCATTGAGGACTTCTGAAGAAGGCAGATGAAGGCAAGAACAAAAACCCCAAAACCATGTCAAGCAAAGGGTATGTTGGGGCAGGGGGCATCGAGAAATCAATAATTGTACAGTAATCCCATCTGTACTCTTCAGGAAATTCTTTTTCCTCCTTTCCTAAGCAACTTTTCCAGTTAGGATACTTGGCCGGAATTTGATGTTTGTTTCCTGACTTTTAAGTGCATCAGCATACCAAACAAGCATAGCTTTTTGGAAATTAATGGGTGGTGGTTCAGTCCCCATATTTGGAGTTTTAGGAAGTTTTGGACAAATATGCTGTACTTTAGCTCAGAAGCATTGAAAGAAAAAGGAAAGCACCTTTAACTTTATTCTAAGCAAGAACGGCTTGGCAGCTTTTGTCCAACTTAGTTGTTTACGGAAGTAATGGGGATGATCTGAGGAAGAGAGTAAGAATGCTTACTTGTTCTTTCAGCTGATTTACTTTATCTTGGAGAAGCCTCTTCACAAGCCTTAGTTTCTGTTCAACGTCCATCATACGTTCTTCCATCATTTTTAGCAGCTGCTCATGACCCCCCTGGAAAGCAACATTTATGTGAGAATCAGTTAACAAAAATCAGTTCACATTTACCAATCTCCTTTTTTTCAGTTTATGCTTGAGAAAATAGCTGGCAGTCCACATGTGAGTCTGTTTCAAAGAGTCGACTAAATTAATAAACCATTCATGGAAGCAAAATGTTATGGCAACACTTCAAGGACACTCGCAGCATTGAACTAGTTTTCCAAGTCTAAGTTACACTTGAGATTACCAGATCTAGGAAAAATTGATATAAAATTCTAAGTTCTGTCTTGACTGTGATAGTCAGATCTGGATAGTTTCCTTTTCTAGTTCTTAGGTGCTGCCATATTTCTGTTGAACGTGGAAAACAAAATACTAATAAAAATCTTAACGGTTTTAGCAAAAAATTAAGGTGAAGTCATAAGGGCATGTTAGTTTGACAGTGTAACTCTCCCATGCCAAAGACCCCTTGAAATTGAGTAATATCCTAAAAAAGTAGGATGGGATATTATCCCAAACTTGATTTTTCACATTTTTTTAGACTAGTTGTAACTAATGTTTCCAAATAGTAACTCTAAAATGCTTTTGCGCTTTTTCTTCAGTGAGGTAACAGGCAGTCTAACTAAAAGCATAGTAACTCAGTGTCACGAGAGTGCCCATTACACCAACAGTTGAATGAAATTTTCCCAAATAAATTAGAAACACCAGGAACTACAAGAAAGCTTGTTTGTATTTGGTAACTTCAGACACTGACTGCAGGGAAAGGGATTCTTTATTTTAATGCTAGCTTGTTACTCTAATTCTAGGAAGTTATCTGAGAAGCTTAACTTTGAGAAAGCACTAACCTTCTCCCCAAAACAAAATGCATTCAAAACCAAAGTACCTTCACACATGTGGGGGAGGATAAATGAAAAACTGAGGGAGGAGTGTTTCAGGGGGGTAGTTGCTCATCTAAACCATTGTAGAAAGATCCCTGTAGGGGATTGATTGAAGTCCACTCAACATTTTATTTGTTGTAACACCAGAAACTCCTTAAGTCTATGTATGGGTTTATATGATCACTTAGCTTGTGAAAAAAATTGAAAAAAGTTACATTAGAGTCATATAGAAGGCAGTTTTACAGTGTTGCTGGACTGAATATTTTTCCAGATTAAAAAAGTACTACTAATCAGAACTTGCCGGGGACTTTCTAGCCCAGTTATCTTGAGCTATCTTTTGTAATTTGATTGGAATTCAAGAACATGGCTAACTATTACACTTCATAGTGGTTGCAGGAGCCTTGAGTGAGTAGTTAAGTAGAAACTAAGAATTATAGTGGTCTCAATACCTGTGATCCTGTTTTTTCACTTAAAGTTGATTTGAGAATGTTCTAACTTCATATTATTTCATGTTTAATGGGAAAAGCCAGCTCAAGCATTAGCTTTAAGGTCATTAGAAAGATAGGAACAGAAAGTTCTTTGAAAGCAAACAGCTGAAATGGTTCATGGCTCCCACCTAGAAAAATCATAGGCCTTAAAGAGGTGTTTTGCTGACTTCTTAAAGTATTAAAAATCTAGTTTAATCTAGTAATTTGAGACAAAAGAAAAACCACTAAGGAATGTTATCCAAGAAACAAGTGCGTTAATAATTTTCCCTTTTCTGGCACTGCCATTTTACTTTATGGCCACAGCAGTAGAATATGCCCGCATACTATGCAAATTCTTTTCTTAAATGTGCAGGTACATCTGCTAAAGAGAAGCTGAGTATCTGTACTTGAGTACATCCCCTATTACAAATCTTTCCCAGAAGTCCTGAATGACAATCCTCAGTATCAAAGACAAATATTTTGTCTAAAATTCATTAATTCTTGTTCATAAAGCTGAAACTATTGATGCTATTAAGACAAGAGACATTATGTTTAAAAAAAATTTTATTTTTCATTTACATCAAAAATGTCATCTTTCCCTGTTAAAAAGTTTATACATCTTATACAAAAATGCAGTATAAATACCCCAGATTTTCTTCAAATCTCATATAAAATTAGTACCGTTTGAGAAAAATAGTCTCTTTCCACACTGAACAACTCCACATTTTAAATAACATAAATAAAAAGTATTTGTAGCAAATTAAAAAAGACAGCTTATGAACTTTCACAAAATAGCTTCTAGACAAATAAATAGGAAATAACACTGTGGAGACTTTTTTTTTTTTTAAGAAAAAGCACAAAATAATTCGATCCTCAAGTTTCTCAGCTTATGCCAGTTCGTGTGTTTGTGTGTGTTTATCATGGTAAGGAATGAGATCATAAGCAGCCAAGCTGTCAGAGGTGCCCGATCCTCCGGTAGGAATCTGCATGCACTGCTCGCTGCTCCGGTAGCAAGGCCTAGAGAAAGAAGGCAAGTGGGATACTTCACCCTGATATCCAGATTTTCTTTTAAATACGTACGTATACTTAGTTAAAGCAAACTACCAATACAAGCGAAGCAAGCAACGCAAGACAAAAACAAAACACACACAGAAGAAAACATGCAGAGTATCACATATTATATTTCTCCAAATACTAGTATTAGCACTACACATATGCAATTGAGGAGATATTCAGGGTGCATTTTCTAGATGTAAGGACTCTTCAGGTTTTGGGGGATTTAAAAAGATCAGTGGCCGTGATTAACTGCAATTAGCAAAGCAGTTAAGTTTCTCAGAGGAAATTATATGCCACTATATATCTATATATAATCTCACAGATTGCCAAATAGCATTTGTGAAAAATGTAGTCCAACTGACCTCCTTTGAAAACTTATTTGCATTTCTATTTTAAACCTAGGCGTAAGTCTTTTCCTGAGACAGGTGAACAAGCTGTTGGTCAGAGGTGATTTGAATTTTGAAAAAAAGAGCTGAAGAAAGGAGAAGTTGAGCAAGTCTAAGTACTCTGAACAAAAATACTGGTTAGCAGAAGTTAAGAGAACTTAGGAAAAATAGAGGGTCATTAACAGGCTCCCAAATCTAGTTATTGAGCAAGGAATATGAGAACAACTGCAGCGATTGCTACAGTGCAGCAGGTAAGAATCACAGCACTAAACACAGCAGAAACAGTCATTTGGAGTTCAGAAGAGTCCAGACAGGTTAACACAGTAGAAAAGGCTCAGGAGTTTTAATTTAGTGAAATTTGAACATATGACTGTAGCTCTTGGAGGGCAGCAGCTCAAGACTGACTGTAAAATGAATGAGAACACAGACCACCACAGCAATGATCAAAAAGCAATGAAAATTGCAAAGCGTGATGAACATAAAATAATTCCAACAAGGAGGGGGATAGCTTTGGATACCTTATGACACAGAAGGACTCAGGATCTAAGAAAGCTGCAAAGTGCAAAGCAGCAGCAGCAAAACTAGGTGATTAAATTTACACAGAAAGCATGGATAACCTGACATTGTACTCACTGGTGAAAAGATGATGAAGAGGGATTAGGATGCAATTTTTCAAGATGCTAAAGGGGACATTAAAATGGACATAATCTCAACTAAATATTAACCCTAGAATTCAGCATGACGAAGAAAAATCAACAGTGAGAATTAAAGCAAGATGTGCTTACAGAAATGTCAAAGTTGAGACAAACTAAAACAAATTTGGCCTTGCTTATAGTTGTAGAATGCATGTGTTTAATAATAATTTTTGAAAGTTATCTAGTAAAGTCCATGAAAAAGCTGTAGGAGATGTTCTAAACCAGAATATCCATTCACTTTAAGAAAAAAAAAAGAAAAAAATTAAAAGGATTAAGTGCTTAGTGCATTGACAGAAAATAGTTGCAAAGCCTCTCAGAAAGTATTTTTAAATTCATGAAGCCTTCCAGAATAAAAGCTTTTACAGGAAATGTAGAAGTGATTTATCTGTAGAACTGCAAGTTCCAGGATGTGAGTAGTTTGCAAATTGTTTCTCAGGCTTTCAAAGGCAAAATTACAAAGTCATCACTCCCAATGCAATACAGAGCACATTCATTTCCAGATGCTACTGCTGTAATACGGCTTTTATTGATTTCAAAATTAAACTGCACGCTCTACTTTCCATTGTATTTGACCAAGTACATTAGCCTGTGGTAATGCACTCCTATCAGGACTCAACTGAAAGGGAGAGAACCTTACAATTGATTTATTTTTACTTATCCTGTATTATTTGCTGTTAAGTTTTTTTTTTGCGGGGGGGGGAACTTTTAGATTTTATGCCCTTCTTAAAGAAGAATTCTTCCTCCAAGTTTTGGAAACTTTAGAAACTGTTACTGCATATACTCTTTCTCCATGATACCTTTTTTCCAGAATACTCTATTAACAATGTTCAGAGATTGTTGAGCTTCAAAGTCTTGGTCTTCTTATTTTTTTTTAAAAGCATAACTGCAATCTGAGTTTAAAATGTAAAGTGTTTTTTCTGCTAACAGCTTAATAAAAGCATTAGTTTTTTATCTAAGTTATTTAGAGCTTTATCTTTTCTCGTAAGATAAAGTTGTAATACTATTTTAAGACCTATGGCCTGAATCAAAGCTTTAGAGATACGGTTACTTTTTGAAGAAAAGAGTAATTTGGCAAGCCTAGTCCACAAGCTTGGTTTTATATGGGAGATGCAAACTTTTCTACCTATTGCCTATAATTCAGTTTTACATGTTAAAAAACCAAAACAACACTAAAAGTGACTCAGCCCAGTATGTGCAGTGGCTGTAATCTTCCTTGGAATTAAATTGTTTTTCCTGAGAAATACCAATGTTGAAGTTTCTGTAAAACGGTAAGAGTGTTCTCCAAACAATGTCTTGTTTTATGGCCAAATAATGAAGATAGGCTGACCTTATAAAAAGGATTAATTTGTATGTATTATGCTCTACTACAGCTGACAGAACTCCATGTGGCAGCAGCAGCAGCCCAAGCTAGTATTTTATGTGTGATGGGCCTGTGCTTGTGCTATATGTGGTATAGTGTATTTTTTAAAACAATGGTTCCAGACATGGATATTAGGTGAAGAAAAAACAAAACTTATAAACACTTACTGCACATTGATCAGAAGGAGAAAAGCCAGTTGAATATGGATGGGAGTGTTTTTTATTTCAGGAAGATTAAGAGGACTTCAGAATTAAGCTATGGCTCAAGCTAAATATGCTTAAAATTTATTCTATCAAAGATATGTACAAAACAAAGGTTTGTTTTGTACATATCTTTGATAGAATGAATTTTAATTTTAATTTTTGAACTGGCATAAACAGAGAACGGATCTCATCAGAATTGAAAAAACAAGAAAACTAACCAGATACCCTTTTAAAGTTGTAACCTGCAGAGTAACGAGAGCTTTACCTGTTGCATGTTTGTTTCAGAGGGTCTACTTTCAAGTTCTTCCTGAAGACGTTGACTCCTCCTCTCTGCTTGTAGTAGCTGGTGTTGGAGCTGCAGGAACTGTTCCTTGGGCACCATAGCACAGCCTTGCTGCTGGAGCTCCCGGGAGTGCGGTGGTTGGCTAAGCATCACACTGGCGCTTGAGTGGAGCATCTGAGGGGCAAAGTAAATCAGCCGTCAGGAGAAAGCAGCACTGCTGTTCATACAACAGATCTTTTAGTGATGAGCTAGACATCAGATTAGTCTTGAACAACTTCTTGGATGCAAGAGAAACAAGCCTGAACTCCGTAACAGAAGCTAAGTAGACAGCTTTTCTCTTTCCAATGAAAAAAGATGCATCCTATGTGCAGTTCTGAAGTGTAAAGGAATCTGAGCTTTGATTCGTAATTTCAGAACTGAATTATAAATTCACTGAATTTCTGATTAAATCTATCACAGTTAAATGGGCCTGTGGTGAGCTTTAACTTAATAGTCCTTTTTAATTTTAACCTCGATCTCAGCAGCTCTTCTAAAAATAGTATCCACTTAATAAAAGCATTAGCATGAGGCAGGCTGAAGAAGTTGCCCACCAGCGCTGATTATTTCTAGTCTTTTATCTAGGATGGAGAGGTAACATTCTCAAAAGCAAAACAAATTTTCGATGTAATGTATGATGACTTAAGTAATTTGATGCCAGCTGCTATATTACATTCAGAATTCAGTATTTAGAATCCCATGTATCTTTCCTTATGTTCACTACTAAGTGTAGAAATTTTAACACATTTAATAATTTTCACTTCGAGACATGCCACAAGCAGAGTTTGATAGCAAGCCTGGAGAATTCCTGAGTGTCTGTGCTGCATAAGCAAAAGTATACTCAGAGGGGCCCTTGAGATATGGATGCGTGTAGTAATCTGAAGTAGTTTAATTCCAAATTTAAGTCTTGCTTTCATTAAAAGAAGGTTACCAAATGCATCAGCATGTCTATGTAATGTAAAGATAGTATATACCAACAAAGAGTTCGTGCATACTGGTTGTCCTTTGTGAAGTTATATTACCAGAGAAGTCTTTTAATTGGTAAAACTAGGCATCTCATGTGGGACAAAAGGATCACATTCCTAATAGTCCTTGCTACAGCAAAAAGAACACCTCAGAACAGACTTGTCCCAAACAGTTTAGCTTCCCCACACCATTTAAGTGGTGCTCCCAAGCAATGCTATGACAGTTACTGGCATAGCAAGTAAGCATATAACAATTTCTGGCATTACCTTACTACGGTAGCATTGCAACCATGAGACGCCAATTTAGATAAACTGGCCCAGCATTAGATGAACTTTCGGACAACATTAAGAGCTAAGATTGTTTCATGTGACTATTTAGCATTTTTCTAGACTAAAATAAAATCCAGGTAAGACTAGCTGACAGTTGGAATAGTTTATAATACTAAAAAAAGACCAGAACTGTACAGTAAACCCCCGTGATGTTTCAGACAAGCTGTTTTGCAGCTTGAATTTGCATAAGATTAATACTTTCTTCCCATAAAGTTCAGTTGACTACATCATAAAATTCTCACCTGTTATCTCAAAACCATTACTCTGTTCCCTTAGGAAAAGGCATATAAAATTATGTTAGTGGTTTTAATTTTCCTTTCAGAAGTGGAAGAATTCAGGCCTCAATTTGTAATCGTATTTCAGTTACTGAGTTCATCTATAATACAAACAACTGTAAGCATTTTGCAGCTCTTCTGGCCGTGTTAGCATCTGTACACCTCTGCTGGCCCAGCTAAACAGAAAATAGCTTTGTAAGTATATTTTAAAATAAAGCTATTTGTATTTTTTTAAACTATCAGGAGGTTCTCTTGAATCAACCTGTCTGCAAAGGAGCTATTCTTTTACTGACAATATAAACAGTCGAAATAATGAGCTTTTGATGGAATTTGTTTAGGGTTTCCTGTAATGTTGTGAAGCACACGAGTATCTAATTAAAGAGCTGAAGAAACAGACAATTAATGTTAACAGCATCTTAAAAACAAATATGAGTTGTGTGGCTAATGAAAACAATGTAGTCTTGCCGTATTCATCTGTGGAAGGAAGTGGAACAATAATGAACTTGCTAAACTATTAGGGATGACACTGAGTGTGATCACATATCAGTTAATATTAAGGACACATTTGACAGTCTGGTGAAAAAACATGCAGCATCAGAGGTAAATACGAAAACACCTTCAAGCCTCACAGCCAATGGGTTAGAAGGAAGGGGTTGAGCCACTTTTCATTTTCTTACGATCAGTTTAATTCTTTTGAATGCAATTGATTATTTCTCTCCATTTTCATGGCAATGCCTTAGAAGTATGCAACTTCTTGGCCTACAGAATCAAATTGCACGATATACTAACCACAAAGAAGTTAGTGCAGCTGTCGAAGTAAAAATTTTACATTGAAATGAATAGTGGCTTTTTTTCTTTAAAAATGCATGGAATTAAAAAAAAAAAAAAAAATCCATAAAAGAAAGAAATGTTTTCTCCATGCTATGGTAGTACATTGAAAATGATTGCTCTACCTTCGCACACTATTTCAGAAAGAGAACTGCACCCTTCTCTGCTAGTTCCAACCACTGAGTTCTAGACAGGTTAGCCATGAACAAAAGGAGAACAGGCACAAAAGAGAAAGTTAGAAGTCATAAAGTGCTAAGTGAATGTTATACACACCTGCTGGGAAAATGTTGTTAGGAGTAACAAAAGTCCTGCATGTTTGCAATACAAATTTCAGGAGAAAATGCAATTCCATGCTTGGTGTTTATACTAAAGAGTTAACAGTGTTTGGAATTTTCCCAAAGCTTAATTAAAGCTATATAAATAAAAGCACAGGGCATATAAACAGTCTTTTCAGTAACTTGTCAAAATCTCATCTTTTCTAATCAAGTTTTTACAATTTTACAGCTAATTACATGTTATGCTGAATATACTACGTTTCCCATTTGCTCTCTTGGTGAAAAACATGAAGTCTTTTAATAAACACTGTTGTAAAAGCCTCATCTAGAAGATGCTTTGATTTATGGAACAAGTCAAAGTTGTGGTGGTTTTTTTATATTATGTTTTAAACTCAAATTCAGGGCATCAAGTTTAGGCAAGACTGCTGAGAGACAACTCTGAGGTCTAGCCTGACCTTAAGGGATACACTAACTTAACATAGTTAAGCTTGCCCATTCCTGTAACCAAGGACACCTAAGAATTATGCAGTTTTCATGACATCCAGCATGATCCATCTCCAGCAGTACTGAACAAACATCCACATTTACAGCAGGCTTTGGAAGAATCTCAGTTGAAGTTTTCACTCATATCTTTAGATTAACAACAAGTTGTGTAAATTGTTATTCTATCACAATCTAGATAAGATAGCAAGGCTTAAATTCAGCAAGTTATTCCCATAGTAAGTAAGAACAGGTTTCTACATTAAGAACAGCATTATGCAAATATTAGTTAGGAAACTTGAGGTTACATGTTTTAGGAAGGGAGAGGAAAGTGTTAGCCTTGCCTCAAGCACAGAAACAAATTTCTTCGCTATTTGGTTTTATATCTGAAGCCTTACGTGAATTACGATGAACCACAACATGCTTCAGAGAAGCATGTTTGTCACACTAACATCTTGATCATGAAAGATGAGATTAGGCATTAGGGGAGATTAATTCTTCCAGTTTTGATTAGTTTCCTCTGTTCCTACACATCTAGAAGTTGTTTTTAAATAAATTCATAGATTCAGTGAGATAGTGATAAAGCCCCACGCTATTCAGTATAGTCAACACTGATTGAAAAGTACCTCCATTAACTGATCATCCAGTTTGACTTGCTTTTTTCTTAGCCCTTCATTTTCTGAGCTGGTTTCCAGTTCACGTTCAAGAGAATTCATCTGACTGATCTATTAAAAACAAGAAGTTTCCTTAGAAAGATAGTAGTTTCTTATTTTATCTGTTGTTTCCCCCCCCGCCCCCCCCCCCCCCCCAATATGCAAGTCATGAATCACTGCACATCAAGACAACTCAAGATTAAAAGACATAAGTATTTGGACAAGTGTAATGCTTTGATGAAAGTGATGTCTAAGACAATGTTATACAGTGTCTCTGACACAAGTTTCAAGGAATAGGCAGAGTAACTAATTTTTAATCTAAAAGTGGTAATGCTGGCACACAAGCGCTGTGTATTGCAGAGCACTTGAGCAGGCTGCGTTTTGTTTATGGTTCCCATGTTCTACCACTGAACTGTTTGTACTGACTAGAAGTCCTGCAGCACATAGGCATAGACTTCCACCCTGCACGCTCTGCAGAAGCACAGAAGACAGTCAGCTCCTTGGGAGAGGGATTCGTGAGAGACAAAGAACACAAAGCTCAGAGTAAAAGAAGAAAATTACAGCTTACCACATTAGCTCTTACAGATGGAAAGTACTGCATTGAGTCACGTATTTACCATCTAACACTAACCTTCCTGTTTGCAGATGACAACTCCTTCTGAAGCTGTTCACACTCTCTCTTCAAGCTTAATTTCTCTTGCTCTATGGCTTTGACGATACCTGACTGGCTTTGATGCTTTTGGTGCTTTAGGGAAAGGATAGTAGATTCCAGCTGTCTGATCTAAAGAGACCAGAGATGAACAAATGTGGAAAAACATTCCAGACCATTCAAAAAATCAAATTGCATCTACTTAATCTAAAATACCGAGTACCAATTGATTTCGGACTCATATTAGATACTGGTGAATTTTTGACATTTTAGCTTTGAGCAACAAAAGGTCTTTCCCTTCCATTCCCCATAATCTGCCTAATACTGTGAGCCAAGAAATTGGACATGAAGAATGCTCAGAATACTAAGAAGTTTTTATGAAAGAAAAAAAATTGAAGGGCATTAATTGAAAGTCGGACCAGAACCTTAGACAAGAGTTACCAGGATTTTCTTTTAAAAAAAGAGCTGTTTGAAATATCGTAAGAGTGCCTGCATACTCAGTGCAGATATAAAGGAAAACTATTCCATTATGCATTCTTTCTGCAAATGTTTCTATTCAAAACTAATGAGCAACATTCCTCTCCTGTATTACCCACTGCAAAACAAGAATCATTAAGTTTTGCCTAGCACGCAGGGCCCGCCTCTGTGATCTGTCAGCTTGCTCAGGTTACCTTCTCCCTGGAGTGAGTCAGCTCTGTTTTAGTGCTCTGGACTTCTCTCTGCAGCCTCTCATTCTCCTGCCTGAGCAGCTGCTGCTCCTGTTTCGTCAGCTGGTCCAGTTCATCCCAGTGTAGTTGCCTCTGTTGGTCCTGCAGCCCTGAGGAAGGCACAGCCAGTTCTAGAACCCGATTCTTAAGACAGACAGAATTGCAGGGTTAGGCCTTAAACAGAAGCAGACATTTTCTCTATTCAGGTGGGTTTTAAGTAGGCTTTCAGTAACTGCAGACTCTAAAGTCGCAGGATTCCTATCTTCCTCCCAGCCTACACACTGTTTTCCACTAAGAAACCCAACATGCTAATCACAGTGCAAAACTAAAGTGCTTCCCTTGGCTAAAATCATAGATAATAGCTGTGTGCCAGAATGGTTGATATGAGTGCACAGAGTTCAACAACACAAAAAAGCAATTTGTGCTCCATTTCACAGCCTCATCAAGCAAATAATAGAACTCAGTATTATATATTATTCAGTAATAGCTGTAATTTAGTTCCTGTTGTACAATTCTGAAACAGCCTCTTTTCCACGTGGACATCAAATATTCCTTAATTACATGGCAAACAAGCCAAATTAGTAACTGAATTCATAATACCAATCCCAAGACTGCTGTCTACAACCTCCTTCAGTTACAGTTCCTCATCAGTTAAGAGAGACTGCTATAATACTGTGCCTTTCAAAAACAATTATGACTGAAAAGTAGATCCCCCTCTCAATTACTAGTTTGACTGTTCATATGTTTATAGTTTTGATATGTGTAAATTCATACATTGTCCACAGATTTTTTTTTTTTTTTTGCGCAAAATATTTCTTTCAGGGAAGAATGGAGACCCAGGAGATGGACTGATCATTGCCTGTCCTCACATTCAAAACTTAAAATAAGTTTTTTAAAAAGAAGTTTAAAATCTGCACATTATATACAATCCGACAAGACTAATTATAGTTAACTATTTTAAAACTCCTAAATACAGAAAACATTACTAAAATAGGGCTTTTTTTGTACCCACCTCCTTTCAGCTTTTTTAAAAAATTACTAGGTTTATATCACTTGTTTAAAAAAAAAAAAAAAACAATAGTTGCATAACTCTGAGCCTACTTGCTCAAGTCTGCAGCACTACTTGTGTCCTTTTAATGAACAAGCCAACCTAAAGAAATAAGGTGGCTACAGTGGCAGGCTACAGAAGAGCAGCAGCTAGTGTCCGTAAACCCTGGTACGCAAAGCTGACTGGCTTTGAGGCACCTGAGGTCCTTTACCTTTTCATTGGCATTCTGCAGTTGCTTGTGTAGAGACATCACTTCTTGTTTAAGAGTTTCCTTCTCCTGTTGCGTCACCCGTAAGTCCGATTTTAGTCGGGACATTTGAAGGTTGGTATTTTGCAGCGTTTCATCTAGAGTCTGAACCTGTAACGAGCAGGAACACAGCTTGGCATTTGCTGGACTAAGATTTCTTGTAACCTTGACCTGCTAGGATGTGTATGCACCACTTATCACACATATTTGGGATCTCTGATGGAAAGA